GATACTGATGAGAGCAAAATTTCGTTTTTATTCGAAATTTTATTAAACATTCAAACTCAAAACTATTTGATACAGTTTAAGGACCCATCGAATGTTTCATAAGTTAATTAATAAATTGCACAGAATAGAGCCGAAAAAAAAATTGAAAATTACAATCTATCAAATTCAAATAAAATTTTTTGGGCAAACTTGAATTTTCAGGGGACATAAATTCTGTCTGAAAAAAATCAGGAGATTTTGAGACATAAATTCTGTCTGAAAAAATTGTTTTTCTAAAAAAAATAAACTCGGGCTTTTGCTATAGCAAATTCGATCTCTTAAGTGCCAAGTTTTAAAACAATTTTAGTATAAAATATAGTGTAAAAAATATCAGTTTTGAATTAAATTCATTTTTCGCACCAATAGAAATGATTTTCTGTTTTTACTTTGAGGTCTTTCTGGTGGCTATTTTCATGATAGAGGGACCAAACTTTATGTAGAAAGCTGAAAGGAAATTGGCAGACTGCAAAAACGTATCTCCCAGAAGCCTTTCATGGGCTGTGCGATAACCCCTGGGCGTTTTCATAAACAGTTTGTGTCTCTGTTATGACAAGTTTGCATTGCGTATCAGCCCGATTGCATTATCTGCTGATTTTGTATTCCGCCAAATTGAAATTGACTGCTGTGAATTTAATTGTTTTCAAAAAAGATAATTGTAATTTGTGAATAATTTGTGAATACTCTGTTGTGATTGGCCTTCCGTCATTGGGTCCTTCCATCATAAGGGAATTTGTCGTTTTTAGGGGAATCCTTTTTCTGTTATGCGGCACAAAATTACCAAAATGTTGAATGAGCTAATATGTCTGAAATTAAGCTTCAGACTTCCTATAAGATCAATCAATTTCATCCAATCAGATAAAAGAAGCATTTTGATTGTGAACTTGTAATCCAATTTGCGATATATGGAAAAGATGAATAGAAAATACCCGCAATTGGGGATATTGTGTGTGTTACTTCAGGTGGTGCAGATAGACTGGAGTCATGACCGGATGAGTGACGTCAAAGGCCACAGTGAGGTGTTGCGGGTGCCAAATGTGACCAGATCACACGCTGGCAGGTACAAGTGCACGGTGAAGAACGAGCACGGGGCAGCCTCCAAAACAGCCCAAGTCAAAGTGCTATGTAAGTACAGACCACAAAATCACAGTTTCAAAAGCACTAAGTAACATCCTACTTCCAAAGATGTTTTTTGGGGGGGGGGGGTGGGTTTTTTGGGGGAGGGGGAATATGTTAGTTTGAGATCAGACAATCAGACAATCAAATCAACGCGAATCAAGTGTTTTACACGGGAAAGTAAGAAAATTTGATCCAATTTAAATATAAGGGTGGAAGATCTTAAATTGGTCTTTTTAGAAGGGAGCATACTAACTTGATCACCTGAAAAAGCAATAGCCCCTATCAGCACCCTTATTGACCCGATTTATCCGCGAGGGAAAGAAACAAATTATAAGTTTCAACTCACTTTTCCAAGAACCGCTTTTGTGTCCTTAAATTGTTTTGGTGTTGAGAAAACAAAGAAGAACAAAATATTTTATGTTATTAATTTTGTCTCGAAACTCAGATTGTTTCAAAAACACTGCGTTTTAAATTCGTTTGAGCAGTTTGTGCTTCATTTTGAAGGTTCAGAAAAAAGTCATTCAACCAACTTTCTGTCGATTTTTGTTTGAAATAAAATTAGTGAAGTTAGTTGGTAATATTCATTTAATTTGTTGATTTGTGTTCAGACCGACCCACATTGAGCTTCCAGTTGACTCCTAGTAAGAGGGCCTTTTTGGAGGGGGAGTCGGTGCAGATCTCGTGCAGAACCAATGCGGACCCCATGCCAGAATCACACAAGTTTAAAGTCTACTACGCCAACACAAATTCCATCCCAGAATCAGGTACGTTTAAGAGATTTTTTAAATTTAAAATAAATTAATTTTACTGATTACTCGAGCGTTTATTTAAAAAAAATGAATTTTGATGATATTTAGTACTTTGATAAATCATTAAATTTCACGATATAAACGTATTCTGAATGATATGATTAAATTCGAGCATCATTAAAAAGTTTATTTAGGATGTAGATTCATAACTCTTGCATGAAACCAAGTTCAGAGCGCTATGAAAGAAATTTATGGCAAGCTTTATGATGAATTGAAGGTCCATTTTTCAGAGGCAAATAGCCAACATACAGGAGTTCATTTTTTAGGGTAATTACTTGTGACCTCTGTAAAAAAAACTTTATGCAATATTCCTCTCTTTTTGAGCTTTTAAATTGTGAAACATGATTTGGCAAAAAAAAAACTGCCTAAAATTTTAGTTTTTAAATTGAAACAGAAAAGACTTGGAAAATCACTGGTCAGAAAATCACATTAAACTATAAAAGACTATCCAGATAATATTGAGTGTCTTAACGTACACTAACTAGGTGTTGCTATTGTGCATCTAGAGGCCTTCCTGATGGTCGGCAACCCCAATTTCCGGGCCGGTAGGTACTACTAAGAAGCAGACAATTCTAACTGGGTCGAAATCCAAAATAAAAAAATAACCCCCCCGTGTTAAAATTAAAGAAGATTTATGGTGAAAGCAGTCAATGCTTACAAACTTGTGCTTCAAAATTATTTCTTAAAATAGTATAAAACTTCTATCAATTGGTAAAAAGAAAACCAAACAAAATCTTCTCTAATTTTTTTTCGGGGGTGTTTTTTTGTTGTTTTCTGTTGCACGGCTGAAAAATATGAAGTTGCAGTAGCTAAAGTTTTGGTTTAATTAAATTCAGCCAATCCTATCCAGCTATTAATAATTTATTTCATATTACAAAATTCATCAATTTTGGGCCGTGTAACAGAAAAGACCCTTTTTGGATTTCGGGTTTGATGCATTTTGGCTTCGGTGTCAAATTCTTCTCTGACTTGATGTCTACTGTTACTTGGTCTACTGTTTCGAATTAAATCTTTATGAGATAAGTATAGAAAATTGCAAAGCTTCATACTGAGTCAACACAATTCTTTTACCCTTTCTCTATACATATTAGATAATGATTTTCAAAAATGTTGATAGTCCAAAAAAGCTTATTTGGAATTTAACAATCAACGTTTTTTTGTTCATTTTCTGCAATTTTCTATAAATTTCTCGGCAGTGATTCTCTGTGAACTGTTTTCACTTTTCGAGGTGAGATATTAACTTAGGGATCTGAATAAATTTTTCGAATAATGGTTTTCTGGTGATGGACGCACGGCTTTCTAGTTTCTCTCTAGTATTCTGTTTGCCATTTCTGATCTTGTTTTTTTATAAGTGGTCGCAGCTAAATTTTAGGCTTGACAATCACTTTCGGGTCGTCTTACTAATTCTGCCCGGGGGCGTTCGACAGTGCCGAAAAACATCAGTGCCGAAAAATAAAATTTTATTCAACATATCGGAGCAGTAATAACATGAAACATTTGAGATTTTTTTTGTGAAAATCACCCCCACACCACAGACCACATGTAAAGTACAAAGTGATAGATTTTGCTCTTAGTGCCAAATTAATTGTGGATTCCTTTTAAGTTAAGCTTCCTGCAACCAATTTGGAACAATTTCTAAGACAGATTAAATCTCCGCTTACCCGTTAATAGCACGAAGTATGTCGCGCAATAACTGTACCAAATTGGCAGTCTTTAAGTCCCCATAACTTCTCAAAAATCCCCATCCCAGGTAAAATATCTTATTCAATTTGAGCTCATGACAACAACACCTTTCGGCTGATATAAAAAAGCGATTGTCAAAAACTGCTACTTAAAAAGTCGAAAAGTCGAAACCACTCAGAGCAAAATTATTCCGTCACTTTTTTAGAAAGTCGGAATAATAAGTTTTTACCTAAGCTATTGAGCTATTGACTGATTGCTAAGAACACTAGTTCTCTGAAACAATTAATATCAAATTCAACAACCGCTTGCGTTGTTTGCTTGCTAGTCGTTTGCTTGCTAAACAAAAACTGAAAAGTAAGTTTTAGTTAAAATTTTTTACGGAACAGGTTTTTTTTCATTTTTATTTTTCTGAAGACCATTAAGTGGGACAAGACAACAAACACACTTCTGTAAAACAAAAAAAAATCAATTTTTGTAGTAAAAAATGTGAATAACAGTGCAACTTACAAAGTGGTATGTTTTGCCTCTAATAACCCACTATCTAGACCCAATATCATAACACAATTCGGTTTGAGATATCGAACAAGATTTATTCGACGCACGCGAATTGTGCTTAAGAAATTGAAAACTGCAATGACCAGTTCAAAATGACAATGCTGTCGAACAATCATAATTTTATGCAAAATTTAAATGTTAAAAAAAGAACTTTACCTGAGAGTTACTGTGAATTTCAAAATCATCAAATCTTTTTCAGAAAATATAAAAAGATCTCTGAGTGAGAAACTGATTAAAAAGATTCAAACCATTTGTAGAAAAACTGCATGAACAGATGACTTTTTTTTTCCAAAAAGAAACAATTGAGTTTTTTGCCTGAAATATTTTTGTCCTCTTCGATTAGTCTTTTTAACGCCGAATTAAGGAAGACTACAATATTTTATACAGTTCATTTACTTAATTTTTGTCTATTACAACAAGAGAAAATGTTGGAGCGTTCACGAAAACGGTCAGTACAAGATTGCTGAAACAGAAAAGTTCTCCAAAATAAGTCAATTATCCTGATTTTTAAAAATTATTTTCAAAGCGAGATGTCAAAAACGTTAAGGGAGATATAAAGTAAAAGAAAATAAATCAGTAGCAAAAGAAAGCAAAAAACTAACGCCTGTAGTTGTTACAAAAACAAAATAATTCTTTATTTAATTGGCGTCATACATTTTTGCAAGTAACGAATTAATAGAAAAACTAACAGAATTTTCAGCAGCTTTTTGTTTCAAAACTTAAGCAAAACCAAAACCAATTTCATTTGAAAAATGAAAAAAAGCTAAATTTTCCCAAAAATGGTTCATTTCCTGCAACCGAAAACACGCTTGACTTCTACCAAAATCTTTGCGATTAGAGCAACGAATGTGAACGTCTTTTTTTCGAAAGTGGGATATAATTCTTAGATGGTCCGGAGATTTACAAAAAAATTACTGATTGATTTTTTCACCCCTTAAGTTATTTGCAACAAAAAACGTGTCAAGCAACAAAAAAACTTGCAGCTGAAAATGTTTCAAAATTAAAGCTATTGGCATATACTTAAAAAAAGTTTCAAATTCTTCATTCTAATTGCAAAAAAACTCGACTAGATTGAGTTCACTTGTAAAAATTTTCAAATTATGAAACAATATTGCTTTTTATATAGTTATTTTCTAAATTTTCCCTGCACAGTCGTACAAAATAACTTTTTTCCATCGCGAATTGCTTTGTTGTTCCAAACTCTTCACATAACAGAAAAGAATTATGGCTGAGTGAAATTCAAGCGTCTAAGTTTGTTTCTGTTTTTTTGCCTACTTCACAAGCCCTAAATTTTTTCTTTCTAGGCCTCTGGTGCCTATATGTACTAACTTTTGGTCAAAGTTTCTCAAAAAGTGCCCAAAAACGGCATTTTTGCTCTTTTTTCAAACTTTGCATGCGGCGCAGAAATTTTTATTACAATAGGGTTTTTATAAGGTTGCGGGAGCGCTCGGAAAATAAATTTGGTCGACTTTAAAAAGGATTGACAAAATTTTTCAATTTTTTTTTTTTGAAAATTGCCGCTCTTGAAAAAATCCTAGATTTGCCCCTGATTTTAGCTCCCCGGGATAAGTTCACATCGAAAATAAGCAAAAAAAATGAACACAATATCAGCAATTACCATCAATGAGTTATTGATGTTCATTGCCACAATAGCAATGTCGATCGTTGGATTATCGCTCATTTAACTTGTTTTGTTTTATTCTAATTCTAATTCTTATTCTAAATTCTGACTATATTTTATTTGCAGCACAAGAAGCCAACATGCGCTCGCAAGATACGAGACAGTACACGATCAGCTCTCTCACCAGACAACACTCGGGTAGCTACATGTGTGAGGCGGAAAACAGGGCGGGCAAAACGACAGAGGAAATCGACCTCTCTGTACAGTGTAAGTTAACAACTGAGTCTATTCTCATGACAAAAAAAAGACCGAATGCGCGAACATTCTCAGCCAATCAGCAATGTTTAAACTTTCAAAAACTGAAGATTGAGACCATCTGATATGAGTATAGGAGCCACCCGCGGAATTAGCATTCAAAAGCAGTGGTTTCGAATTATGCACACGAGTATCGACAAACTTTCTTCGGAAAAAATTTGCTGCGATAAAAACTAGCATTTTGTTGTTTTCGAAAGAAAATGATGGAAAAAACAGTGTGCGAAAAATGCACTGTGGTTTAGTGGTGCAACCGATTGTTCGAACCGACGTTCGTTAGACGATGAACCTTCGAAGGCTCTCGCGAGCACTCGGTCCTATTTGACCTGCGTGTTAGTGAGTTACTTGCATTACGTATCCGAGAAACATTTTCTGCAAACCTTCTGAGTGTGTTTTCAGAACTGCTGGAAACGTTGTTGCCAAAAAAAGTGCAACACTTACTGGAGATCGTGTAAACATGCAAAATATTCTGCATGAAAATTGAAAATTTTTCCATTAAATATTGATTTTCAATTTTTTTTCTCAAGAATACGGAAAATGAAATATCGAATTGCTGACGAACATTGCACCACTGCTGTGATTAGCTGCTATAATGTCGGCCACTTATTTTGTTACCTAAATAAATTCTTTGATGAAAGTTTGTCGGTCAAAAATTTGCCGGAAAAATCGATATTGTTGGCTCAGCATTTTAATTATTAGTTTAAATCTGTTACAGTCGGGCCAATCATCACCCCACTGCAGACGGGCTATATTGACGAAGGCCACGCTTTACTTCTCAAGTGTGACGTGCAAAGTGAGCCCCCCTCTAAGATCACGTGGTTCTCACCCGACCGCAGACCCATCGCCAAAGGGCCGGTGCTGGAGATCAAGAAAGTGACCCAGTCGGATGCGGGCGTGTATCTCTGCAAGGCTGAGACTACATTTTACAACGAAAAAGTGGCGACGGATTCAATGGAAGTCCAAGTATTTGTCAAATGTGAGTTGTATCTGTCAACCCTTGACAGATTTTTCACAACTTGCTTTTTTTCCAATTAAGCTGGTTTTTTGAGAATTTTCAAAAAACAGTGTAACCACGAAACTTGCCAAACGTGCCAAAATCTTGAGAAAAAGTTCCAGAAGGTTAAAAAAAGTGCCAAACAAGCCAAGATATTTAGAAAATGAACCAAATATTTAAGGCGGTCTATGAAATGTTTTGATTTGACGTTTGTGTTATTTTTTGTGTGTTGTGTTGTAGTCCCCCCGCAGTACCTGCCATGCAGTCCCCTCAACCTGGAGGGTCTGTTCTCCGCACTGCCTGCCCAGAGGGCCACCCTCTGCTGCCAGTTCGTCCTCTACCCCACAAATCAGGTACACCAGCAGGAAAAACTTTTATCATTGTCAACAAAATAAAATGTCTTACAAATGAGAAGCCAATTAGGCTCTCTTAACCCCCCCCCCCCATTTTGTCACATTTGAATTTTAGTACTTCAGTTTTTCGAAAAAACGAGTTTAACCATGGTCAATAAATTAAGTAATTTGAACACATTTCTTCTTCATGCTTTTTTGTAATATCACGCGTTAATCATAATAGAAAAAGAAATCATTCACGCTAAAAAAATGTTCCAAAATTTAATTTTCATTTTAAAAAATATGCTCTAGAAAAAAAATTGATATCGATTGTATTTTTGTAGCCGGTGCGAGTACAATGGTTCAAACAAACACGTGAGAACAGTGATGAAATATCTCAGGAGTACGTGAGGACATCTCAAGACCAGTCGTCGGATTACCAGGTGAAACTGAAGTCGGAACTCACGATCGACAGAGTGACAGACGACAACTTCACCGACTACTTCTGTGCTGTGAAGAATGAAAAAGGCGAACAGTTCAAGAAGATACGGCTGGACAGATTACGTAAGATGTGAACTCTGATTACATAATCGTACTAACCTTACATATTAGTCATCATATATAATTTTCAACAGATCATGCGATTTAAAATATCAGATTACGATCTGATTACATAATCACAGTAACCTCACATAATGTTCATGCATAGCTTTTTATGTTAAAATAACAGATTATGAAAAATTTTGACTTTTTTGATGAAAAAATTTGCTGAAAATTAAGAATATACCAAAGAGGAGCAACAAGGAGAAGAATTTATAAATATAAATTGTTCACATCTTCATGGCATTTACTTAACAAACCTCCACAGATAGCAACATTATAAAACGTGAGAATTATGAAGCTGTTGTACAAGCAGTTTTTGTTTGTATGTCCAGGCAAGCCTAGGGCTCCTTCGGTCCAAGATGTGAAGAGCGAGAGTCCGGCTGGACTTCGGGTGTCGTGGACCCCAGTGCCATACATGACAGCTGGAAACAGCTACTACCAGGTGGCATACAGACCGGCTAGCAGTAATGGAGGAAGCAACAACAACAACAAAGAGTTCACGGTCAGTATCATTACACGAAGTTCGACAATTGATGACATTGATTGTTCTAACAATTATGTAACAATTACCTTCTTAACAAAATTATCTAACGCAACCATTTTATAACAATTATTTAACAGTTCCGAAAATCAAACATATATTCAACAGAGGTGACGTGATTTTGTTTCCTGGTTTGTACACTTTTATGTCTCGGCTGGTTTATGCATCTCGTATCTTTCTATCTTCGCTTCAAAATGCTTTGCGTAGAAACTTTCATGACAATTTTGCTTCTTTCATGAATATGTTAACAGAGTTGTTTTTCAGACGTTGGACGCTCGTAACAGCAACGAAATTCTCATTTCGTCTCTGAAACCGAACCAGAAATACGACGTCTCCGTCAAAGCCTGTAACAGTGTCGGCTGCAGCGACTACACCAAACCCATCCAGGGAATGGCCGCCAGTCGATCAGGGGGAGGCGGTTCGAGTTCCGGTGGGGGCGGGGAAGCTTTAGGTGCGGGGGGAAACACTGTTCCGCTTCGGACGATGGTGATTGTGCCGTTGATCTTAGTGGGATTGGTGCTATTGGTTTCCCTCCTCATCGTCATCTGTCGCAGAAATCGAGATCAAAGGCGAAACGCCGCCCTCAAAAAAGGTCAGTGACAATAAAGTAATCAAAAACTAGATCATCTTTATTCATGTTAAAACCCCCAATTTAATGTCTTAAGATCAGTAGTTTGTAGTGTTTTTATCAACTATTTCAAGTGTTATCCTCAATTTTCAAAGTGGGAAAATGACATTTTGTTGTTCAGTTATCATTGCAAGTTACTCGTTTGAAAAAATCATTCGATATGTTATTTTTGGTTATTTAATGCTTGGCCGTGCAAAATTGTATTACCCTTGTTTGGCCATATGGTTACTATTTTTTGGTCCTATTTTTGAGCGATAAAACATCATCATGTTCAAATTTTAATCATGGCTGTGCTTGAACGAATTCATTTGCCGACTGTTCAATTTCAATTGCGCTGAAGTTTGTTTCCTTGATATCCTTTTGATTTGTTATGTCTGGAATACATGCGGCGGCTCCTGCTGAAATATAATTGCTTAAAATTTCTGGACCACTTGTGGGCTAATTCCAGTTTCAAACTGGGTTGAAGGTAGACAAAAATAACCCTCCTGGTGAATCAAGCTTGGTTGAGACAAGTCAATCTATAGTATAACAGGTAAACCGATTCCCTGTCCTAGCAAAGAGAGTTAAATATTACTGGAGGCTTTATTAAGTTTCACTGTTCAGGCAGGCCGGCTTTGATTTTGGATAAAATTGAATGTTGAGATTAGAAAATTGTACATGCGATAAATCGGATTTTCTTAGTGGGTCGCAACTGCCATGAAAATCCCTGTATCGTACCAAAATCCAGAAAACCCTCAGTCAAAATATGCCAACATAAAATTTTACTGTTTTTATTTCGGTTTCAATCAAAAAGTGGGAGACAAAAATTTGAACCAAATCCGAAGCGAACATGAATTAAGCATGGAAAGAGTATGAACGAATTTGAATGGCTTCTTGATTTTATTCAACAGACAGAATCCCGGTACACGCGGGTAAACGTGGGCTTGTTGCCGTACCCGGTAGCAGCTCCGCAAGTCAATGCGGGTTCATTGGGGTCGGGGATCCGGGGCCATCGGGTAACTATTACCCGCCGAACTCACCCGAAATGGCTGCTCAAGTCGTTTCGCTATGGAGCAACACTTCGGTTTTGCCCGGGTCCCCCTTTTCATCCCAAAACCCGTCGGGTGGGCAACCATCGGCTATGCTTTATAACAGTCACGTTGTTCCGACCTTACGAATGCCCCACAACATGACTAATGGCTCGTTGCCGAAAGGTGAGTTGTCAAAACAAACTGGCCAAAAAAGTAAACACCAAAACAAAACATCAAGCAGGCACTAAATGTAAAATGCAAGGAATCATATGTTTACGTATGAATAACTATGGCACTTAATGCGTCTTTATACTTCTGCTACGCTCATTTTTTTGTGTTGCAATTATTAGGTCAAACTGATTTTCTTTTTTACAATTCGGTTTTCTTGGCTTCATAATAATTGAGTCGTGATTCATGATAGTTATAATAGCTTTGATTTCATCTACAGATTAAATAGTTTGCCCATATTAGTCGGTTAGATGACTTTTTAATTATTAAGAGTCGATGAATGTAGTTCAGACTCTCACGATGATTCTTTTTCAGGAAAAGTCTTAAATTGTTCAGGCTCGAATTTACTTTTTTGCCGTTTGACTTTGATTTCTTTTTAAATTAACTTCATTTCCTTTGTTTAATTTGAATTTTATTTTTCAGATTTCCCTGCAAAATAAAAATTCTGCTTATTGACCCAGTTTTCTCAAAATGTGTTAATTTTATCAAAAAATGCAAATCATACAGTCCTACAATTTCAAAGAGGTTTAATGGCATCTATTTTTTCTTTGAAAATCGAAAGTTGGGATGTTTCAAAAATTATGTCGGTATTTTTATTCTGTTTACTTGCGTTCATTGACTCTTTTCCAACAATCTGTTGGCTCTGTTAATTGGTGAATAAGTCTATGAAAACTTTTTGATAAAAAATAGCAAATTGAACCTAAATTCTCAGCACAGTCTAACATGTGTCGATGAATCAGAAAGCCGAAACATTCAAAGTGTTCGCATTGCAGATTGCCAGCAAACGACATCACACATGCAATCGGTAACAAATCCCTGCACGCCGCCACCGTTCCAACTACAAAATAAACTTCCATCGTCAGATCCTTCTAGAACTTTCTTCGACCAATCTCCACCCATCATGAATTATCCTGCCTTAAAAGAAAATTCCAGATACTTAGCACAAGCACAGCCTATGAGTCCAACGCAACGTAGGCTTGCAACTTCAATTTCAAGGCTTTCGAACTCAAAAAATTCGTACCAACTGGGCTCCCCAAATCGACATCAAAGAATCTCAGTTAAAGCTGGAGGTATTATGTACTCAAACCGAAATGCCCCCGGATTTTCGCCACAGCAAAAACAACTTTTCGTTGTCATGGGAGACGGACAACATTCGCCGCAAATTGACTGCAACTCGGAACATTCGCAACAAGCTTCCGAGGAAAAGTAGAAAATCTTGGATAAATCTTTGTAAAAAACTGCAAGTCAGGTTCCTTCAAAACTAACTGGAATCAAGCGACAAATAACGTGAAATTGGTTTAAAACTAAAGAATGAAAGCTGGTTTGATTTTTGTTGACCATCATTGTCAATAACGCTACACTTCCGCAATTCACTCCCGTCAACTATCGCACTTTTCTAAATTACAGAAACATGCGCACAATCATCAAAAGACGCTTCAATTTATAGTTTCATCACCAGAGTCAAATTCAAGCATACTTATTTATTATAACATCATGCAATCAGTTAAGTTATCTTGTTAACTCTTTTGAATGGCGTATACTTAGTTTTTTGTACCTCAGTACTTTTTGGCGGTGCATATTAATTAACATGAACTCCCGACCTTGGTGCGGATTCTTTTTGGTAAAAATGTATCAATCTTTTTTTATATTTACTGTTTATCTGTGTTAAATTGTCAATTCAGTTTGGCTTTGATTGTCATTAACATTAAAACTTTTTCGTTTTCTTATGTTTTGTTGATAACATCAATTATAATGCCACATCCGAACGTTTTAGCGCTGATCGCATAAACAAAACAAGGGTTGCCGGTTGCTGTGCAAGTGGCGCAGAAAATTCCGACTACATTCGAATGAAAAGTACCTAAAACGCTTAAAGAGAAACAATTTTAAGTGTCAATGAACGTGGTAAAGGCATTTATTTAGGTCATGATACTTTGTTTCAGGCAAAAGTCTTACGCTCAAACTTGATTTTTTGCCATTTGAATTTTAATTTGTTTTTATGTTCAGTTCATTTCTTTTTCTAAAAGGAAGGATAAATCCACTATGGAACAGCAAAGGTGCATTTTAATTTTCAGGTTTCCCAGCAGAGTACAAATTTGACATTTGATCAAATTTTCTCACATTGAGTCGAGTTCATCAAAAAAAATCAAGCAAACATTGTTCTTGAAAATTAAAAAACTTTAACGCCATAACTGTTTTTAAATTAAAAAATTTTTAATTAATTTCATCTCGACCCTGAGAAGATATTTTTAAATGTTGTTCGAGTTAGGATTGAAAGGGTTTTAATTTGATAAAAATCAAAAAGACCCAAAGACGAAGTTGATTCCCACTTTCAGATGTTTAGGAAACTTAAAAATTGAAACACGCTTGAAGGCGTTATTCAAACTTATAATTTATGCACTTCAAAAACCGGCTGATGTTATTAACGGATGTTAATCTTAAGTTGTGCATTATCATGAATAACTCCAATTATGGACTAAAATTTGCCTAAAAATTTGAAAAGTAACGTTTTACAGATGAAAAAATAGCGTTTTGATATGCTTGTAAAATTTAAATCTCGGCCCTTGAAATTCCTTTGGCTTGAAGTCCCGTCGGCTTTTTGTCCCAGACCCATATATCACAGACTTTTCCGAAGCAGTTATCAATTCACTTCAAACAATTGAAAATTTTTCAAATTTTTTTTCGCATTTTCGTATTGTGAATTTGTAAAAACGCAGTCTTAATCGCGTTTTAAGAACATCACAATCAAATATTCACACGTTTCTTGAAGAACACAATCATTTTTGAAATTGATTTTTATTTGTATCCGCTCTTTGCTTATTGAAGTCGAATAGCAAAAAAAAGTTCTCGGCAGTTTTTGAACCTTTTTTAAACATTAGTTACTAAACATTTTAAACATTTAAACATTAGTTACTTTTAGAAGATTTTAGCATGGATGAGCACTAGAACCTCTGCGAGCTTGTTGGAGCCACTTAAAATTGGCTGAAAAGAAACCGACACTATTCCATGATTACTTGCATTCAGTGAAAGATCGGAACATGAATAATAGAAAAAAAACAGCTTTGGATTGTTTTCGAGTTGCTCGAGATTTTCAAAAAGTCTTAGAATTAGTTAGTTTTTGTAGTTAAAAATGCAAAATCGTATTGATGGTTCCACATACCATGGGCTATGAAAAACTTTGGTTTGGGGTGAGTTATTTTACGCACTTTCAGGTATTTTGAAGAAACTCTTTCGTGGAGGTTTGAGTGATATATCATATTAAAATTTTTTCAGTTATAAGTCGAGCTGTAGTGAAAAGATTCGAAATTTTTTTTCCAGTATTCGAAAAAATAGGTCTGAAAGTTTTAGTGTTAATAAATGGTGTTAGTTTTGACTCATTTTGGTCATGTAATTTTTTTTTCAAAAACTTTCTAATTTATGTTCACTCTCTTTTTTATATTATCACTGTTTGATTTTACTTCTTAAATTTACTACAAATGGATTTCCATAATGGTAAAAATTATGCTTCCTAGGTTAAACTCAAAAACAGTGCGAAAAAGAAATGTGATTGGCTCTTGGTTGCAAAAAATTTTGGTAGGTCCTAGTGTAAAAAATTAGCTATTGATCCAGCTCTCTCAATTTGGATTACACTTGGTGAAATATTTATAGTTCTTTGAAAATAAGGCTGGTGTTCTTTTATAGTAAAGTATAAGTTTTAAAATTCTTCGGAAACTAGTCAGTTTTTGGGTTTTCCAGAGTTAGTTCCGGGTTTTTCATTATTTCATATCGAGTAGTTCTCCTTCCTATCCCCGCTTTGCTTGAACAAAAAACCAAAAATAGATGGAACGATCATGGCTTTTCCCCATGCTTTTTAACCATTTAATATCTAAAATTAGAGTAACTATTATCAAGAAGCACCCTAAATAATTGTCTTTATAACTGCCGAATCATTTTACTTTACTTTAGTTCATTTGATAGATCTGATATATTTGCTACAAACAACAGTTTGATGCAGCGACTAATTTTTTAATTTTCAGTTAAGCTTTGCTGCTGTCAAAATGAGCTCACGAAATCTTTTGTCTGAATATTTTCTACAAATAGCTGCTTATTTTGAAAAAAAAATTAAAAAGTTTTTTAATTGTTTCTAGAAAGAATTTAATATTTAGGTATAGTTGCACACCCTGAAGAGCTGGAAGTTCTAAAACAAAACCAAGTATCAAACTTGGCAACTGGGCCGCCTATTCTGAACAACAACGGAATCGGAACACTAAACAGCAACGGCAACAATCTAAACATAAACACTCTCTCATCAATAATCAGCCATCCAGGTTCCGACCAGGAACCCTCCAGTAAGAAAAAGGGGGACCCAGCTACTTATGTGGACTACTCAATGGGACCCCCGGGTAACCCTTCGTATCAGTTACTGACTCCGCAACATCCAACTGGCCACCCGCCGCTCTCTAGCTCACTCGGTGGTCCTGATAGACCCCCGGCGGGCGGAAACAACGCCGCCGCTCAACATCATCCTCAGCTTAATTCAGTCATCAACATGTCCAACTCTTTGGATAAAGCTTCCTTCAACAGACTTAGAGGTTGGTCTCCATCCATCCATTTCTGAGCAACACTTTGTATGATTTAATATAAACAAAACAAGACGTAAAAAATTGACAAATCCAAAGAATACATGAATTATTGTCAGTTTTCTGAAGAAACTTTTGTGTTTATTCCGAAGAAACTTAAATTGTGCTGAATGATTTTTACGGTGTTTTGTCAGATTGGCTGAGCAATTTGACACTGACAGTAAACTGGGATTTTGACAGTGTCCTTCGAACTATTTCGAGGATCAAAACTGAAAATTTCTTTGAAGGTAGAACAAAACTACACCAAACAATTTAGAAACATCATAATTTTCTTTTTGCGTCGAAATTGATGGTTATGAGCATTAGGCTATATCATCTTTATTAAAACCTTCATCCTTACTGCTAGAGAACATTTCCTTTTCATAATCCATCATCAAAATATTTAAAGCGAGTGCCAATTAACCGAAACCAAAACGGTCGATTGTCTACGGCAAACTTATTACTTGCAGACAACCAATTTATAGATTGCCTTCACATGATATCATAACCGTTATCCCAAAAATTGTTCTGTTATCGTTCAATATTTTGGTACTCCTAAATGTACGGGAAAATGATGTCGATAATTTTAGTTTGCATTCCAGGCGAACCGGAAGGCAAGGAGCGGGTCCGATTCGCAGACGCCGACGGAAACACTCTCTACCCTGGAGATGTGGAACCCCATGCTCCTGCCAACCCCCCGCAACTACACCATTCACTGACAAACGGGAAGCTCCCGCAGCAAAATGGGGGGCCGAAATACAACCCCCAAGTCACCAATGCTCCCCGCTACAACACCCTTCCGAACCGCCTATCTCCTCAATCACCGCCACTATCCGGCGGCAACTACCCGGGTAGCAGTTGTTCAAGTTCCAGTAGCCCCCCGATAATTGCCAACATTCCTCCCAACTCCGCCGGTCCAGGTGGGGGCCAGTATCCCGCGTCATCTATGGCCGCGGGGGCTATAGCCTCCGTACAAGCAGACCATATCTACTCTACCACTTCCAGAGTAAAGCCAGTTCCCCTTCCCAGGGCACCCAGCACAAATCTTAGCCAATCACAATTAAGTAATAGCAGCAACAGTTCAGTCGCCAGTAAATCACCCCCTCCCCCTAGCTTACCGGCAGCTGCCGCCAACGGACCCATTTTAAAGAAGGGAACAGCGTCTGCAGCTCGGAATTTGAGCGAAGCGATAACACCGCCCGTCACAATAGAAGGCGATCATAAAACTTTGACCTTGAAATGTCCGAGCGGATATTCAATAACATCAGTTTGAACTTCGCTGAACTCTAACTTAATTCAGTTCACATCGCCAGTCAATCATTGAATGTGTCAAAAACTATATGTGAAAAAATGCTTGGAATGAAAAATCAGTGAATTCAAAATCGACCAATTACATTGGGCATAAATTGAAAAACCCTAAAAATTGTGCAATTCGAATATTGATAATTTATTTAATTTTGTAATCCAATCTTAAACCAGGTTGTTTAGATTGATTATTCTGTTGCTATTGTAATTTAATGTTCTTATTTCTTGTATATGATTTCGAATCAAGAGTCAAATTCGCTAATTGAAATATTTTACATACCTGAACAGTTTGTAATTTTAGAGCAAAAGTCAAACATTACAATCAACTCTTTTAGATCAATAAGATATCCAGAAGATTAGCCAGTTGCTGTGCACTTATTAGGAAAAACATCATAGAAACATATATTTCGACCATAGTCTTTAAAAACCTACAAGAAAAAAAGTTTTTTTTCGAATTAGTTTAACTTTTATGCGTGGTCTGATAAAAAAAGATCTGAAGTAACAAAAAATAGCCATATTCGACAATCATAGTAATATAGACAAACAGGACAAAAGATTTAGACAGAAACTGACTTACAAAACCAAAAATCATACGAAAAATTATAAGAAACTAAAAAAATGTTTAATTTGTTAAAATGTTGAACTTTTTGTTTCTCACAATGGCATTAAAGTCTCCAAAAACTAATTTACTCAAAAATTAATTAAGTGTAGAAAATCTATTGTTATCGGCCTAAATTTTCTTATAGATAAGCGTGCGTGCTTGCTTTTTTATACGAAAAATGTAGGTGAAAAATCAAAAATTTCAAGCCGGTTTTTCTCGGAGCTGGGAAAGTTTGTTCCTAATTTTTTATTGCAGTTCGAATCACGATTGAAAGAGCTTTAAAATAATTTATCACTCAACCCCTCCGATGATTATTTATGGTACCTGATTTTGCGGGAAAAACAAAAAGAAATAAAAAATAAAACACACCCGAATACAAAGTTCCACCCCATTTTCAATGGTCGGACCAATAAAAAAACATTATTGTTCGCAAAAAACTTTTCGAGCTTTTTTATCATAACTATCCCTTCATTTTTTCATTGAAATTGCCCTTGAAACCAAAAATTACCCCAGCTGACAGTTTGGCAGAAATCAATTTGCACAGCATTAAATAAAATAATGAATAATTGAAAAATAAAAACTTTGCGTTTTACGCAAAACAGGAAAAAAAACAAATTGTGTTTACAGTCAAGTCTTACTGAATTAATTCATGCATAGACAGAATTTTGTATACAATTACACAAGCTTGTTAAAGGGTAGAAGGCCAAATGTTACGTTATTTTACATGATAAAAAATAAAAAGGCCCGAAAAACTATTTTGTTCTTTTATAAGCGTGTCTAAGCTAAAAAAAAAGTCTCGCGTATCTTGCGTTTATAAACCATATTTCGTTGAAAACAGAGCATTTGGTCTCTTAAATTTAGGTTTTTTTCAATAAGCAGAAGGAAAACACTTATTGAAGCTCTTTGGTGTAAAATTTTTGAATAAACATTTTTTAAGGATTTGATTTTTTATTCAACAAAAATTCTATCAAACCAACTATCACAAGATTTAACTTTTTCAGTAAAAAATTTTAATTAATTGATTCCCCCAAACAATTTTCAAAAAAATTCCGGGCTTTTCTCCCCAAGCTTCATCTTAAATTGTCATCAAATTCTGCATGCTGTGCTTGTTCTTTTGCATGTTGTGCAAGGCTAATGTGTTCTCAAAGGGTTAATGAAAGTTACTTTAAAGTAGAAGGCCAATTTTAAGACCAATCTTTGTCGTAGAAACTAAAGTTTTTCTGCTAATATTCCAAGCTCAGGCATTACTTGAAACCAAGCTTGCAATTTTTAAAGATTGATGTAAAGTGAAAAAAACAAAGTGGAGACAAGTTTATATTGTTTAAAAATGAGTTCCATTGGAAAACATTTTGTCTTAAGTTATTTTAAAAGTGTTTTCAAAACGATCTAGTTGTTAAATTCAAATTATTTTAAAATTTACGGCTGACAACACAAATTATTTACTTTTCTGAAACGAATTACAGTTGTTTGATGAGGACAACAGAGGTTTTTTTTAAAAAAATCCTTGTGTCAGTAAAAACCTGGCTAAACCATACTAAAAAATGCTTTCAACCAGTTTGATTACTCACTCCATTTTTTATTGTAGTTAAAAATTAAATTTATCATAATAAGAAAAAAATTGGAAATGGATTCTAAGGAACTGGTTTTGAAAAGGAAAAGACTCTAAAAATTAAATTTGATCAGCAGCGCAAAAAGTCGCATTGCGGTAAATTTAATGAATTTTTGCATGCATTAATTCAATTGAATGTATTGAATGTTTTTGCATTGATTGTTTTTAGATACTTTTTGCAAGTTTGCAAGTGCATTCTCTGATTTTAGTTACTTGTCATTGGTTGGAGATTTCTCCCAAAATTCAAAAACTATCAAGTAATCGGAGGAAAAAATTGAAAAATGGTTCAAAAATGAAAAATGGTTCAAAAGAACTTTTCACTTAATCAACAAATCAACAACGGATAACTGCAATCAAAAATTGAAAAAACGGTTTAGAAGAAATTTTCACTTATTCAACAACGGATAACTGCAAAATTGAAAAACGGTTTAGAAGAAATTTTCACTTATTCAACAACAAATAACTGCACACAAAAATCGATGAATGGTAATTGGAGGCTGAAAAAGGTATTTTCGATTTCATGAGTGACAAAACGTGCTTTTCTAATTTAACAATTTAACTAAATAATTTTTCACAGTACTGAACACAAGTAAGCGCTACCCATGTCAAAAGATTAGGGAACTGTTCACGAATTTTTTTATTTGCTGAGAAAATTAAAAAAAAACACTCAGCAAGTGAAAAAAAAGAGAAAAACGGAATGAACCTCAGTAACAGAGAAGGTCTGTTTAGGATGCTACAGTAGAAAAAATTAAAGCAGGTCCACTGAAAAGCGTAAGAAACGGTCGAAAGTTTCTGAAGGTACTCAACGTATAAGATGAAGGCATCAATAAGTACCACGACAGCAACACTGCCCATCATTTCAAACTGAGGAATCAATTCAAGGAAATGGAATCTTCAGAAGTTAAGATCGGACCGGAAACCGGGAAATTTGTCGACTGAGGAAGCATGTAACTTTGAACGTAGCGGAAAAGACAGCAGAAACAATAACAAGAATAAAACCGAGACCTTATCAGGTCTTTACTTGTAGCTCAACAAATATCGGGTTTTTGATTCAGGTCGAAAATTGTATTGTTAACAGCAAATGGAAAACAACCTTGAAATAACAGAAAAAAGCTCCTGCAAGCACCTTTTTGGAATACCCTAACAAAGAAATTGGTATACTCTCACCAAAAATTTTTCGATAACGGGAATTGAGCGGCTGTATTGACAAAAAAGCAGAGTTCCAATGATTAATTGAATCAAGGGCAACGGAGTTATTTAGCAATCCAGCGGTAGTTGTTCGCAATCGTACAATTCACTCAATAATTCCCGAACAAATCTCTAAAGTTTCAATGAGCACAATGGATTGATTTAAGGTGATAAGAAAAATTGGGACGAAATTGAAATCAAGCGTGGGTGGGAAGAAAACTTCAAATGCAAACTGATTTAAGATTCCCAAATCGAGAATCCCAATTAAGACACCCTAGAAATTTAATCAATTGGGAAGGAAAAAAACAATGAAGGAAACTATCAAGGAAGAAAAGCTGAAAGCTGCTATATTAGAACTACAAATTGTGCAATTGAAGAGAAAAAATAAAAACGGCAAAGAAGCAGAAAAAAGGAGCCAAAGCATATGAATAATGCATTAATCAAGAGTTATTGGTAGGTTTATAAGAATTTAGCTCTGAAACCATCCTACTAAAACAACGGAAGCTGGAAAAAGCACATTTTGCGAACAAATATCGTGCGGAAACATTTTGTTTGAAAAACCTTTCAACAAATGCAAGAACAATACACTGAACGGAATTGATCACAGATTTGAAAAACTGTGTCGACAGTTATGAACAAAGTACCATTTTCAAAAAACCTAGTCAGAAACAGTATACTCCTTGCAGATATGGACCCTCATCAATTTGGTCAACAAATCAAAAAAAAATAACAGGTTTTTTTTTGGTTTGTCAACAAATGCAAATCCGTTGATATAATACCTTACAATTAAACGCAACAGATGGATCAATGTTTATGGACTTTTTGAAAGAGTTGCTCAATATTTTCAAAAAATGAGCCAGTATGCAAAATAGTTTTTTTAACGCAATAATCTGCTGATTACTTAAAAATGAAGACAATCCAATCACTGACTTCTGTGTGTTCAATTCAGCAAAAATTAAAACTAAGAATACTTTTCATCCGAAGTTTTTAAGCGATAGTGAGAGCTGAAAAAAGGGCTTTTAATTTCGCAAAAAAAAACAATATTTTAAAGAAGATAATCTTAGTTAACTGATTAGCTGAAAACACGGCCAGTAGCGAAGTTAGTGGGGAGGGGGGGGGGGGGCGAAATACGCGATTTTTTAATCAAAATTTTCCAAAATTTTCCGCTTTTTTTTTTGCTTTTTTTTCAAAAATTTGCGTGCGGCGCAGAAAATTTGGTCAAATTTGGGTCTTTATAGCGGAAAATTTTTGAATTTTTTTTATTTGTTATTCAAGAGATTAGGGGGCATAGTTGGAACATTCAGGGCTTTGCCCTGATATACGAGCCGTCTTGTTTCAATGAATAAGTAAATTTCATCAAACAATTTGTCGTGGAATCAATACATACATAAATACTTACATACATACATGCATTTATTTAATCAACCATACATACATACATACATACATACATATATACATACAAAATTATATGTATGTACATATTTACAGAGAAACGTCTATATCCACATGAAAAACTTGCCATAATTATTAGGAAAAAAAATAAATTAAAAAACTGTGCACTATAAGCCTTATGGGTGTCCTTAATTGTGAAATCAATAAACTGTTGCAATTGTTTTGAGAGTTATATAAACAAAAGAATCAAACCTCAACTCAAGTTTCAAGTTTATACTATACGATAGCTCAAATGCCGAATCAAATTGAAAAATTACTTCCAATCACAACGAAACAGAACACAATAAGAAGCCAAGTTAATAGGAGACAATAGAAAAAATAGCATGTAGATTGACGGAGTTGGAAAGTTTTTAGTTACTTGTCGCAAAGTGCATTCTCTGATTTCAGTTACTTTTCATTGATTTGAGATTTCTCCCAAAACTCAAAAACTATCAAGTAATCGGAGGAAAA